TTGATCACACAAAAGATCGTGCCACTACAATATATGCTTTTTTTTAAGTTGGTAATGGGGGGAAGTGATGGATTTTAACATTATCTTCACTCAAAGTTAGTGCTTATAATATATGTTATTAAATCTAGTATTCCATTTTAAAAGTTCAGGTCCAAGTGAACCCCTACAAGTGATTTTAAATGCATTTTTGGGCTCACACGACATGTGTCAAGGCAAAGGGATGTAAAATTATCTCGAGTTAGTTAAAAGAAGCATACCACCTAGGCATACTGGATGAACTTTTTATGCCCCATGATATAATCTAAATTAAATTATCAAATTGCTAAATTTTAAACTATTATAAAAGTCTTTTATATCTGTTCAAATAAAAATATGAGAAAACATATTTATCTTTTAATATCTTAAGAGCTAATTCCTATCAAAACGAGCTCGAGTAATCGAACCGAGCTCGAGCATGATTTTTATACAGCGAGTCGAGTTCGAGCTCATTAAATGAGCTCGAGCTCTAGTTCAAGCTCGGTATGAGCTAAACAAGATCAGCTCGATAATGCCACTACTCGACTTGATTACACCCATAGCTGCAAGTGTTGTAGGTGGTCATAGTCCTTTTAAAAATAATAATCTAAACCTAAGGAGCAAGTGGAGTTCATTTAAATAGGGTTGTTGTTTTGAACATGCCAAGTTGTTCGAAAGATAGTCAAATTTCTGTCAACAAGGATTAGACCCCGACCCAAAAAAAATCTAGTGTTATGAGGAGTATTATCATGATAAGAAAATAATTTGGCAAATAAGTGCACCAGAGAACCTACGAGAGAGTAGTGAAGGTGTTAAAGGATGCCAAAATATGTCATCAAATGAGCTTGAACTGATTGTAGGATTGATGAAGCCTGGAGAGAAACTTAACAACAACAAACTCCTCATTTTGTTAGTGCTTAGCAATTGGAAAGGTAATAAATGGCAGATACTGAAGGTTTGTAGTATTCTTGAATAAATTTATCCTTTTGTTGCAAAGAGAATAATAAATAGTGTATAGTTCATAGCCCTAAAAGTAGGCCAAAAGGAGAAAATCCTACATCAGACTCTCTTAAAACATGAGGGTATATGCAATTGTGGGTTCAAGTATTGAACTTTCACGTAAAAAAGCAAAAACATAATTGGAAGCATTTCATTTGATGTGTTTGACAGTGTTCATCCATTTTGGAAGCAAATAGTCAATATGATTGAATTTCTCATAAGATCCGAGGAAACCGCAAATCTTAAGACCACAAAAGATAGTTGGTACCATTAAATTTAATAAATGTAAAAATAATGGATGAAAGAAAATCATGGGTGAATACTACCAAGAGTAAAGAATAAAAGGAGTGAATTAATCAATTAAAGATTGAGGGTAAAGAGGGGAGGAACCATTCATGCAAGAAGTGGTCATGCCTTCGAGGTCAGGCCATAATGGCAACACCAGCAAGATGCAAAGGTGGTTAGTGCAGGTCGCAATGATAGCTAGTTTAGACAAGCAATTGCAGATAAGTGTGAACGAGTGCATGAGTGACGATGAGGGTGAGTATGGGTGTGGGTTATCATTGGTGGAGGCGAGCGCGGGTGCTAGCGACTATGGATACCAAGGTGCAACCGATCATGGGGAAAGGAGAGTAGAGGAAGAGAGGTGAGCATGGAATGATCAATCAAAGAAGGGAGAGTGAGCAAACCCGGCTTTGATATCACATGCCAACAGAAAAAAAACCCTCTATTTATAAATGATATAAATAAAGGAATGAGTGAATAACAATCAAATAAATGCATATCACACACTAAATAAGGATGATTTTTCTAACTTGATATTTTCATACATTATCTTCACAAACTTGATACTTATTTTGGTCGAGGCCATACACCAACTTGTCTCATCTTGATTCAAGATTTGTTATGATGTATTATTTTGTTTGATTTTATAGATTTGAATCAATTAGACTTTGGAGTAGAATAAGAATCATATGATTATGAACTTTGAATTTTGAAATTTCTTTCTATTGTTTTCTTATATATGATTTCTCAATCATATTTTTATTTTTAAAATATTAAACATATAAATTTCATGAGATTTATGCCACATACATGATATTTCATGAGCATATCTAGGTGACTACCCATTACATGGAGCTCCAGTTAACAAAAAGTTTGAGCAGGGCTAATATGCATGGTATTGCCCCTACATTTGCCTTTTAGGAACAACAACAAGAAAACTGAAAGGACTATGATTAGTTTATGTTAGAAGCATGGATACATCACTGAGTGACAAAAATTGAAGCCACCCTTACTAGTTTATCTACTTAAAACCAAAACAAGAATCGAGCAAGGTATTTATTCCTGAATGAATGAAAATGTGTTCATAAATGATGGTGTATGTGGAGATAATGTTTGTGATAAAGCTATAATGAATGGATGATATTCCTATATATTTTTTTACTTCATACTATTGTTTACCATAAGGGGGTGTTTGGTTTACTGGAAAGGAGCACAAAGTATTCCTCTTTCAGTGAATGGTAAAATTTCAGTGTTTGATTTGCTGGGAAAAAAAGAATGCAGTGTAAAATTTCAATGAGTTTCTTTTTCACTCCCATATTCATTTTGTAAACATTCTAAAGTCATCCAATTTTGGCTGAATTCTTTTTTTACTGCAAAACCAATTGCATTCTTGCCGCTCAGCATAGCCGTCAGCCACCACCGCCAAACACCGTCGGCTACCACCAACCACCACCATCTAGCTGATGACTACTACAGGCTGACCGCCGCCACTGACCGCCACCCTTTGCTATCGGCCATCACCAACATTACCACTGTCTAACCACCATCCATCGCCAGCTAGGAGCCACTACCACCAATTGCCGACCACCAGTGGTCATCATCGGTCGCTGCCACCGATCGTTGCCACCGACCAACACCATCATTTCACTTTACATTGAAATTTTTTTTTTTTTCAAACTAAACAAAAAAAAGTAATCTCATGCATTTTTTTTTCACTCATCCAAACAACTTCAAATATTTCAAATACTTTACATACTTCTACATTGCATTCACTTTATGTCTTTATTCTACATATCTTTTTTTAGTAAACCAAACAACCCCTAATCAAATAATGAAATAATGCTTGATTCATAAAGAAGAACCTATACAACCTCCTAAGGATGATGGCACCTAAAAAAACATTTATGTTTCTCTTAATTTGAGACAACTTTTGCTTCATTTTTCCATTCATGCACCATATCTTTAATTCAGTTTACATTTTATGCAAATTCTGATATTTTTTTACTCTCAACAGGTCTTTTCCAATTTATGTCAGGAAAAAGGGTTCCGATGTTCTGTCAATGTCTTTAGACCCAGTTATATCCAAGACTTTCTTCCCAATTTCAAATTAGAACCATAAAATTATGCAAGAGAATAACTTTTTCCATCCTGACAATGCTACCTCTAAAAGAAAATTCTTAGCACACAATGTCGAGTTATCTATGATATAGGATTTTTTCTTCGGCATTAAAGCACGATTAGATCGGGTATGTGGGTAAGGTTCAGCTCAACTAGTCTAATAAAATAAAAAAAAAGAAAGAAGGATTCAGCTAATGCTTGTGAAATGCATTGGACCATTGAGATTTGAGACTGATCTCAAAGTTAGTTTTGAGGTCCACAATTCTATGGCCGAATGAAGTTAAAGTCCATTTAAAAACACAAGGCATACCAAGAAGGTTGCAGCTGCAGACCAAAATTCAATAAAGGCCTATCAGACCATGTCAGCCCAGACCGAAACTTGTTAATGGACCTTTTCCCAATCAAAATAATGATCCGGGGTAGTGGCCTTTGAATGGGTTTTTTTAATATCAATTAAGCTCACGGAAAAGCTCAAACCGTATTAGTAACAGCATTTTAAAGCCCTCCACTATGAATGACAAACCTTCAGGACTTAAAGGGCCAACTGCCAAGCAAATGATCATGGATGCAAGCACAAACCTTTTGCCAGCCCTATCATTGTCTTTTACCTGGAAAATAGCTGATATAATTTCATTATAAATGCAATCATATAATTCTAAATAAGATTCCTCACGTTACTCAGTTAAAGTTCAATCATTAAGCTTAATTTGGGCTCCCTAAAGCAATATGCATGACTGCCACAATGAAAGCATTCTGATGCCCATATAGGAAATGCGAAACAGTACCAGGAGGAAAGTTGCTCAATAGCGCTTTCATGCCCAGTAATGTTGCACAAAGCTAGTAAAGTTGTACAAACAGGCCCACAGTATGACAGCAAGCATTACCACTACCGCCCCACATCAGAAAGCTACCCCAAATGATGCCCAAGTCTCAATGAAATTTGGAAAATGATTCATATTACTCTTACTCTTCTATTAGCTGCTGGGAAAGCAGTGGTGTGATGGACCTTCAATAAGGATCTTGTTCTATAAAATATCAAAAGGGACAAGATTTAGAAGCACATAGGAATATATAAACAGGATTGAAGTTTATTCAGATGCCCTTTTCTGCAGTAATTATGATGTAAAAATTTTCCAACAACCTTCTGCAACAAGAATCTAGTGTTGTTTATAATTACTTCCCCATTCATTCGAATAGGCTTACTGAAGTAGTTATAGTTTGTTTGAACAAAAACAGTGTATTGCATAGTAACAATGAGAATGATAGATGGGTGAGCCTAGGAAGGGGAAAGGTTTTGTAAAGAAACGTTTCTATTTTTCCAAGGAAGCATTTTGCTCCATGTAAACATACATTATGAGCCAAGGATGTAAATTAAATGAGGTTATAGTTCTCCAATTTACCCACATGCGCACATTTAAACATATGGATAACAATGACATCAAAGAACTTAAAAGTAAACTAGGTGATCCAAGTACCATAAATGTTATGAAAATCTGAGCAGAACAAGGTTTTAGAATTAAAAAAGCACATGGTCTGACATAAAACTGATAAAAGAGAGCAAGAAAGTAAAGGGTAAATCTCACCTGCTTATTTGCATAGACAAGGACAACTGAACCTTTTAATTCATCTTCCTGTAAGAAAGAATAATAAGCATATCAAATAAGTAATTAGAAACAAAAGGAATATATTTATAGTATTTAATTTTTTCTCTTCCTACTTGCAAGATGTATCTATAGCACATGATGAATGGCATCAAGATACGCATCTCACTAAGAAAACTATGTTGATAAATTTGCTGTGATGCTATGGATCTTAACCTGAATTATTTTCGAGATTCCTTTGGATGAAGCATGCCTTCAAATCAGTACATTTTTCATAATTTCTTCTTTACATTTCCTTATAACCTGCTAAGCTAAATCTTATGACAGGAACGTATCTCCTTAATTCCATGATTTTTGAAAGAAAACTGTTACATTGCTATAAAGATTGAAATCCATACTCTGTTATAATATTGTTCTAGAGTACAATATGCTAGCAAGATGAATAAAAGTGTAGCATCTACCAAAGCTGGTTTATAGCTCATTCATGCTTTAATCTTCATAAAGTTGCCATCATTGTCATCATCATTAGTCCTATCCCAACCATTTAAGTCAAACTTTATGAATCCTTCTCCACTCAGTACCCTTAAGTTCCACAAAAGGTGTTAACTCCATTTTAGGCAAACATTTTTTACAATTTCTGGCATCGCTTAACCTTATCCCTCCTAATCATATCACATTCATGATTTTTTTTTATATAATTTTACTTGGTGTTAATTTAATCTTAACAAATCATGATCAACACTAACCAAGTTAGTTTCAACAATCCACTTCTTGCCTAGAAGCCTTCACAAAAAATACTACCACTGTTTTTAGCACATACCATCTTAACAAATTTAATATAATCTTCTCTCTAAAGATTCCACTCCAAAAGTTACTATCACATAATTTAAATGACCGAGTTGAGGAAGACAAAAAAAAAAGTGCCAACTGCACTATCAAATATAAGTGTAAGCATGCCTAATTTTGCACTTCACAAACAATGTCAAATTAATTAGAGCATATAGCCCAAGATATATAAAGGCAGAATTTTGAAACAATGGGGTAGAATGCAATTGCAGCCCAGGAACCCAAACACTGCAGTAAAAAGGCAGATTGGATATAAAATCAATTTTTACGATGAGGATAAATACGTTTAGAGGTAAGGTTAGAATAATATCAACATAAAATAAGAACTGCATACTTGTGTTGCAACAATCATCTACCCTATATTCTAGTGTCTAGAAAAGGCCAAACTTCCAGGCAGCATGCTGTAAATGCATTATTATAATCTATCAAAACACATCACAGTCATCAAAGACAACATGAACTAGTTGTGCACCTCCAAAATAGCATGAAACTCCTCCTTTGCTATCACCAATCTATCGGTGTCACTTGAATCAACAACGTATATAATGGCTTGAGTATTAGGAAAATAGCATCTCCAGTATGGCCTGCATAAAGTAGTATGTACTGTTAACTGAGACATAATCTCTTCATTAACCATGAAAAGCCAAGGCATGCAGTAGAAATTTGATGACCAAACGGGACGTGAAAAGATTGGAGTTTTTTAATCTTCTAACAGAAGAAATAAAGCATGATGAAAGAGTAGCAAAGAATTTGTAACCAAAACTACACCTTCAAAGACTTAGAAAAATTCCCACGTTGCAAATTAAAAATCTACCACTAAAGTTCACTCAATCCACCTTTGGCATCTTAACTTCCTCCAAAAACTGAATTAAGGATTCTCTAGCATGACTATCTTCGAACTGGAATCTCAAGTATGAGAATGTTTGGGATTAATTTAGGCTATTTTGAATCTAGACCGGTCTAGATCTACTTCACAGCAGATCAAGGAGAGGATTTGAAGAAGACAACAGCCAAAACAAAGATACCTGGTTCCCTAGCAGTGTGTCAGATCACTCTAATGCCAAGCCTGCTCAGGAAGGTTCATCTCCTTAAAATAAAAAGGAGTTGGCTGAGCTCACTGCAGATTAGTTCAACTTACAGACAGGTAACATGTGGCAGGTTCAATTGCATATTAGGCTCGGCAAAACATGATGGTGTCATTAAAGGAAAAATGTGGTAAATTTGACCACAAACATGGCACAAGGTGTTTGAATGACCATGACGCTGATGGAGATGTGAGGGACCCTGAGGAGGAAAATTGAATTAGGACTGTGTTATGGTGGTGGACTCTGGACAGGAGCAGTTGCAGGAACAGATGTGGTGAAGAAGTATAGTCAGTTATAGGCAACAACACGAGCAGTAAAAGAACAATAAGGTTTTGCTAACAAATATCTTATTGTAGAATGTAGAGACATGACCTCGCGCTGCATGTTGTGCTTAAAAGTGTAATAAAAAAAGAAGTACATCAAGGGACATTATATGCACATAAGCCTGCATCAAGACAAAAAAAAAAACCTATCGATATGACACGTTGATATCCTGAATCCACTTCTGTCTACATTAATCATTTAATTGCATGTATCTCAAACATTTCAATGTCTCCCTATATCACTACACTAAATGTTGAAATCCACTCAATTATCAATAGATCTGACAATTGATGCAGAGAGATTCTAAAAGAATTTGGAAGTTCAGTCACCATAACCAAGGTGGATGCTATATCTGATTAGTTAGGATAATTTTTAACTACTTTTAATAGGTGTGGTAGTACTTATTTTAAAGTTACGCCCAAACTATTCTATGAAAGATCAAATACTTTAATATAAGTATGAATGATTTTTGGCAAACCATAGTGAGATGGCTAATTAGCTATAATGGCCACTCAAACAATGACCGCACATTGAATGCTAGATTCCCTTGATCAAGGGTTCTAACCGTCTTTCTATGGATCTGATGTACTAATTATTTGGATTGTAAAACATCAAGGAAATTAATAATTATTTGCATGTCAAAGCCTTATATTGGATTAATGTGAGAGACAATACCCTACTTCACAAGATATCGCTGCAATAAATCTATTGAAAATTCAGTAAATGAGACCAATAAATGAAACTATTCCACCAATTAGCCACAGTTATGACTGGAGTAGCAAAGAAATATGAATTTCATCATCTCACGGGCATTGAATAAACTTCTAGAATTGCAATGCAAAAAAATTTCTGAATGTTCTGCAAAATATTCCACCAATATATAGCAAGAACGAATATTAAACAAATGCCATTTATTTCATACGTGAGCAGATGTCCTTGGGAGGTGAATGTTAATAAAACAATCGAAATGGCATACCTGATACTTGTCTGTCCACCTGAAATAAAAGGCAATAAGATTCAAGTTAGTGAAAAAGCCTGCTATAAGATATAGATCTATGAAGACCCCCACGACACAAAGAAATATCAAATATTATCCATGAGACACTCCAGCAAATAAGACCAATTAAAACATGAATGTTCGCATTGAATTAACATGTCAATTAGGTTAATTACATTAAATAATTTGTGCCTTGAACACACAAGGCTATAAATTTTAAGAGACTAATCGAATTTCATATAAATAAATAGACCAACATACAAGGTTACATGCAAAAGACAACAAGAAAAAAGGCTATATAAAAATACTACAAAGAAGATTTAAAAAATTCAAGAGAGAAAACTCACCAAGCCCCCTCATGAACAAGTGTAAAACAACAATGGAGACCCTAAAGGGGTGTGCATCCTCTTTTTTCTTTATAAATAATGAAGTCGTCTTATTAATTTGCTGACTAATCTGCTTAAGTGGTTATCCTTATCCCTTGAAAGTTGGAAATGGTCAAATTTGTTAAAGCTTGTTATTGTTGATATCCCTTTCCTCTGATTATAAATAGGAGAATATTATGAGCGTAAAAGTCATGCGTAAATAATCTGTGGGCTCCGTCGCTGGTTTTACGCAAAAATCCCGGGATGAGACGCTAGCACAGCGGGATTTGCGGGATTTGATCGTAGATCAGAGCAGCTCGCAGGATTTCATGCATGATTTCGGGGATCCTTCGACAGTCCGAGGTATGCATATTTTTTTGGTTCTTTTGGTTATTACATATAGGTCAACATAATCATGAAGAAAAAGATCAAAATATATCCTAGACTATTTATGGGGGACCTTTTTAGGCCTACACTATCTAATATATCCAATTAAATATTTTGATTGTCTTATCCAAAATAGTCTCTTAACTTCTCAAATCTAATCCAAAATAATCCAACAAAGGGATTATTTTGGATCATATTTGATGAGCCAACGGACTAAGTTGAATACATTTATAACATGGATCAAAAAATGACCCCATACAAATAGTCTAGAGACATTTTTGACATTTTCTCTTTATGTGTATCCAACATCTTAAAACTTAGTGATATATTAAGCTTGACTCGCTTTTTGTCTATAAACAATACCTTCCCTTTTTACTTGAGCTATTTCTCCCCACTTTTCTCTCCACTTGGTTGGCCACCCAAAAAGAAACCTTGATTGTATTCATTAAGGATGACTTTCAAGAGAAACTTCAAGCAAGAACATGAGGAAAGATCAAACATAAGGCAAGAGGATCTATTTATCCATTAGGTTCAAAGCTTTATTGCAATTTTACCTTAGTTAATCACTCTAATCCCCTTTCTCCCTAGATTCATATTGACCCTTTTATAAGATTTTGTTCCAATCCAAAACATAGGTAAGGATATAAGTCTACCTAACATGGGCTTTGAAGTTTGAATGGAAGTGTGAATGAGGGAGCATAAGCTCTTAGGTAGTATAATTTTAAGGCTATTTGGCAAGGCCTTTGTGGTGGATCATTTTTTCACACAAACAATAGGGTTCTGCTAGCCCCTTGTAATGATGCTTTTGGTTGCAAGACAAAAAAAGATAAGGTCTAAGATTTTAGCCATGAGTTTGACAAGAGGAAGTGCTTTCAAATCTTGGGTTTAATTGGAATCATCTTCCCCTAATGAGGAAAAGAATGAGATAACTTGATTAAACTATATCTTACCTTGTTTCACCTTGCTTTACAATAACTATCGCTCGCAAATCATATGTAGAGATAAAAAAAGGAGGGAAAGAGGGAGTTCAACCAACAAAAAAGGGGGACAAAGCAATATTAACCATATTCCATTAATAGTAAATAAAATGTCAAGCCATAATGATGCGGACATCCAAATTTGAATTTGAATTAACATTAATTACTCCTTAATTTCAGATTTCCATTCTCTCTCCCCAAATTGATTTGGGCTTTAATTAATCTTGCCACCTAGGCAAGTATATGGCATTTACGTTTCACATCACATAATGTATAATTCTCCAATTTATACAAATAAGAAACAAAGCCTTATCATAACCAATTTAAAAGTATATGCACTAAAATCCTCAAGTTATTAATTACCTCAACATAAAAAAAAATGAAAACTTATTGTATCAAGGAACTCCAATCTTGCATCTATTTTGAAAGGGTAAGAATCTGATTTGCAAGTTTAGTAACTTTTTTCCTCCATTCCCTCAAACCTTTTTTTCAAATCTCCATGATTGGTTATGCTAGTCTCTTTATTTTGGTTTTATATAAGTTTTTCATTGTTTGCTTAACAAGCAATAGTGTTGGCCATAATCCTATAAACTAGATGAACCACTTAGATATCAAACTAGACTAAAATCTAGGTCGTGACATTGGTAAATTTGAATTAATCTTTTGATGGAAATGTAAATGGAGGATGATTTTGGATGGAAATGTAAACTGAGGAGGGTGGGCTCTTCAACACCCTGATCTTATGAATATTTGACTAGGCCTTTAAAATTGAAGCTTTTGGTTGCACAATCAAGAAGGATTAAATCTAGGAGTTCAATTAATTATGTTTTGGCCAAGAGGAAATTTGTTTGCATTTGGGTTTAGTTGAAATCACCTTCTAATAATAAAAGAAAGGAGAAAGAAAAATTTGTCCAACACTAAAAAAGGGACCAAATTGTGTTGATAGAGATGAAGTGATAATATGTATATCACATTGGGAGTAAATAATATGGCATGCCCTATGGATATGTAATTCTCCTATTTGTCAAAGCAAGAGAGAAAGCGTTAATAACAAGTTCAAAACATAAGGGAAGGTTGTTAGATGCCTAATTAGATGATTCATGTAATTGATTAACCAAAACAAACATAAGAGAATAAAAAGAAGAGAGCCTTAGCCAAGGAATGAAATCCTACCACTTGAAAAATGATTTGTCCTTTAAGTTGGCTTGATGAATTATCATTTTTGATGATGAAACAACTTTACTACTTGCAACATTTTTATAGCCTTCATATTGCCCTTAATGTTGCACATTTTCCATGCAACTTTAATATAATTCCATGTGCTACCCACAAATTCTAAGCTAGCTTTATCCATCTTAGCCAAAATAAAACAAATAACATGTATTTGATCTAAAGTGGTCAAACTAGGTCAATTAACAAATTTAGTGAATATCGGGTCCATTTCATCTAAATATAGCAGCTCCGCTTGCCATATTTTAAAGCACAATTTCTCTAAATGTTTCAAGGTTCATTCTGAGTTCAGGCATCATAAATTTCAGACAAAAGACCTTCCATCTAATGCTCACAATGATCCTCCTACTTCTTTGGAAGAAATTTCTCCCTCTTCAGTTCAAGTCTACTCCCAAAACTTTGAGCCAATTTCATATTCTCTTGTACAATAGGTCAATTAACAAATTTAGTGAATATCGGGTCCATTTCATCTAAATATCGCAGCTCCGCTTGCCATATTTTAAAGCACAAATTCTCTAAATGTTTCAAGGTTCATTCTGAGTTCAGGCATCATAAATTTCAGACAAAAGACCTTCCATCTAATGCTCACAATGATCCTCCTTTTTTTTCCGCTGGCAATTCTTTGTATTGGCCTTTTTTGTACTCCTATCATTAACTATTAAATATATTTTCATATAAAAATAATAATATTATTAGTGGAGAGCTTCTTAAACCTTGTTTTAGTCCCCGTATGGATTATACTATACTTTCCATTAAACCTATATGAAATATAGATTGGTTAAACACCACTTCCAAAATCAATCCTTCTGCAAATATCTTTAGAGTATTCATCAAACCATCAAAAAAAATTATGGAGATTAAAGAAGGATTGTTCTTCTACTCCTTAAGATCATTAGCATTCAGAGCAAGGATTGCTAAAACCTTTAATCTCAATTTTTTATCATTTTTAATTTCAAAGCAATAGTCTTGCATGAGGAATTCAATAAAAAAGGAAATCATTGTAAACATCAAAACTTATTTCCAAGTTACACCTCAAACATAGTTAAATTTATACATAATACAATATTTATAGAAGTTTCATAATCCAAAATCAAAAGAAAAATTAACATGAAGTAGGCAGGGGGCAATGGATGTGGTTTGGTTTTGAGCTAATTTGGTTCCTTGTTTAGACTTGGTTGTCTCGAGTTAGCTGCTACTTTTGGTGTGCTGCTGTGTTTTTCTACTAAACTTAGCTCATTATGATAATTAAAAGCCCTTTTCAGCTCATAAATGCATGTCCTGGTTCATTCCCCCTCTCTCACTCTGTTGGCCTTTAAGTTTCTTCCGCCTGGCTCCAGTCCCATGGCTGGCTATTCCTGTTCCCCGTGGTTACCTGTTCATGTCCCCTGTGTGGTCCCTTCGGCTGCTGTTCCAGGTGTTGCTTGTTTGTCTGTTGGCTTTCCTTTTTTGGTTGATTCGGCTAGAGGTGATTGACAACTCCCCTATCTGATTTTCGTTTTTTCCTCTTGATCGACGGTCTCTCTATCTAAGAAAAAGAAACCTTGCTCCGCACCTCGTTTGAGTAGTACTTTACGATTCAGACTAGTTTCCGTGGGTAGATCGGTAGGCTAGGCCGCCTCTTGTTGTTCTTCTTTCTATATAGATATGTTGAAGATAGTCAATATGGTATGAACTACTTAGTCTTATTGGATGGATGTCTTCCATATAGTAAATCTTACTCTTATCCAACTCGTCAATTGCATTGAACCTTTCCTGGGGGGTTGTTTGGCTACCTCTTTTCTCTTATAAATATGTGATGTTTTGAGAGAATGTAATAAAGGATGATATGAAGTAATTTTTGGAATAGAAAACCTGCGGGTTTCTTCTTGGGAAAGCTTGCGAGCTTGTTCAATTTCTCTTCTCCTCTCTTGGATTTCATCTTGGGCTTCTTACCTACTTCTTCTCTCCACAAATTTCCACTCCACTTGTATCTTTCTTCTCAAGCTATTGGAGGAGTTGGTTGGCCAGTTTGGTAGCATTTTCCGGAGGAGTTTTGTGGT